CTTCAAGATGGCCCACCTTTTTGGGCCAAACCAATGTATGCCTCCCACGTATTGATTTATGACTTTACCTGTAACCCCTGTCTCCCTGAAATGTATAAAACCAAACTATAACCCAACCTCTGCGAGGCCACTGCTCAAGACCTCTTGGGCGTGGCTCCGGGTCACGGTCCTCAAATTTGGCTCAGAGTAAATCTCTTTAAAATTATTTTACAGAGTTTGGTCTTTTTTCCGTTGACAGAGACAATGTCACTACACAGGGAAGATCCCATGAGACAATGGCTGGCTGTGTCCAGTACCTGGAGTTACTGTTTCTTAATACTCCGTGTCTCAGAACATGGGTAGAGTGGAGCTAACAAGCCAGTGTCCTTTCCAGAGGTGCTGGGTGTGCGAGGGCTCTGAGCTGGCGAGGGCTGATGGAGCCCCTTCTGGCAGATGAACTCAGGGTCCAGGCCTGGCTCATTCCCCTCCCCTGTCCCCCCCCAGGGGGCGGGACGGGAATGGCTTGGAGTGGCGGGGTGGGGTAAGCGCTGTCACTGAGGAAGGCAGCTGTGCAGGTCCTGGGCCCCCACTCACAATTGGAGGAAGGAATTCAGGAAGTGCTCACAGCTGCTCAGACATCTCCGAGCCAAGTTCTAAGCAGGACCAAGGCTGCAGCACCCAGGGAGGAGCGTCATGGGCCCTGGGATGGCCACCAGGCTGGGAGGCCACAGCACCAGGTACAGCCAGGGCTGGTCCTCGAGGAGCCCAGGGTAAGTCTCCGCAGCACCTGGGTGTGAGCGGTGGGCCTGAGCAGGCAGCAAAGAGGGCTGGGCGAGGCCTGTCCGGAAGAAGGCTTCTCCCAGGCCCTGCAGTCATTGAAGGGGCCGGGATTCCAGCGGGAGCACACCCCACTCTGTCTAAATTGCACGCGCCAACAACATGCAGAAAAGGAGGCCAAATGCAAAGTGCCCCTGCCCCCTGCCTCTGCTGAAGGCCGTGGCGCCTGTGGTGACCCGTGAGCGCTCTCAACCTTGCCCAGAGCTGGCTCTTGTCTTCTTCTCCCTCTGCGTCCCTGCCCCCAGCAGCTGGGCCGAGTGAAGGACTGGCCCAAGGTCCCTCCCAGGGAGGAGCCCGGCTCCCTCTGGATCAGCAGGAGGGGGAGTATTTTGTCTCTTGACTGAGTGTACAATCGCTCTTGAAATCCGTAGGCGTCACCAGAGGCCAGGACTGGCCAGGCTCCCTCTGAGCAGCGTCTTTGGCCCCCTCGTCCCCACCTCCTCCGTGTCCAGGGAGTCTTGTGCTCACATCTTCCAGGACAGTGGTGCTTCTAGAAGCTACCATGGAGTCGACCACAGCTCTTGGAAGCCTGGCCTGAGGCTTAGAAAATGGAGATCATCTGAGATCGGAGCAGTGGGGCCACATGAGGGTGTCCCGCGGCAGAGGGCGGGCACGACCAGCGCCTCAGACCAGCATCTTCTTAGAAGGCCAAGGGAGAGTGGCTGGAGGAGCACAGGGCACCTGAAATCACTAAGAGCCTGCTGATGGATGTGGGGCTAAGGGACCCAAGTTTGCTCGGCGGGTTAGCGGCCACACGGGCCATGGAAACGGCAGTGATTGGAGTGGTGGCGGTGCTGTTTATGGTCACCGTGGCTATCACCTGTGTCCTCTGCTGCTTCAGCTGTGACTCAAGGACCCAGCATCCTCAGGGGGGCCCTGGCCGCAGATTCACGGTGGCCACGTTTCGCCAGGAGGCGACTCTCTTCACAGGGCCGGGCCGCCACGCCCCGCCAGTGCCTAGTGCCCGGGACTTCTGGACCTTCATGTGAGGCCTAATAGTCCCTCAGGATTTGCTCTGCTGGTGGGTCACGCTCACCCACCCTTCACCCACCTTCCCTGGTGTCCCGCCTCTCCGATCCTGCATCCCTGTCCTTACCCTCCTGTATCCTGTGTCTCTCCATCTCCTCCCATCCTGCTTTGCTGTGCCCTCCAGCCTGGGGGATCCACTGTGTGGCGGCCAAGTGGGAGTCGGCTCTGACCCAGAGGCTCAGCTGGGCCCCACCCACAGGATGGGCTTAGGAAGGGCCGGGGGAGTCGGTGAACAGACACCGCGTGGGATTGCACGGTGGGCCAGCTCTGCTGATCTACACCGGGCACTGATACATCACTGCGGCTTATTGTAAACAGAGTGCTTGTGACACTGGTTCTATTGCCACCAGAGGACCCAAGTGTACATTTTCAGAAACCACTTCTTATCTGTGCCCGTCATGGAATATTTTTGCACGTTGCACAGAGCCCAACCCCGAGAGGCCTGCTCCCTGCCAGGTGCCTGAAATCAGTCCTGAAATTCTGAAACC